ATTCATCATTACAAAAGTTCAAACGAACAAAGCTTTAAATTAAAAATAAATAGGAAGATAAGTAAAGAAATAATCAATCACAATTTAATTTGGGTTAAGGTTAAGAGTTTCAGCCAGAATTAGAGGATTACAATTTAATTGAAAATGATTTTCGTTCTAATCGAAACTTATAACCAAATGATTCATTGTATGAACAAGAATCCCTAAAAAAAGATTTAAACAGATAGACATACTGCTTTTGACTCAATCGGAGTTGTTCTTTAATCTTTAAGCCTATCGATAAATCCTATTGAATAATTTAAGAGTGAACCTTAAATCCAATACGATGATTAATATGATTAGAATATATATTATTTAGTTAAAAAGATAGTAAACGATATCTGTCATGATTATTTAGAAAATTGTGTTAATTTAAGACTTAAATGTGCTTTTTCATACCTGAAAATAGTCTAATAATATAAATATTTTAGTTTTCCTTTATGAAAAATCAGTTATTCATAGATCAAAAGTGATCTGTATAATTTCTATATTCAACTTTTTTAGTGCTATTAAAATTATATTTCATTTTTTTGTTTCAGCTGCAACTCATTTTGCTTCTTCAATGAAATCTTCAAAAGTCGCTTACATATAGAATGCATTTTCTAGATATTCATCACCCTCACCATCAAGCAAAATTAAAATAGTTAGATAGAATACCTCTGAATCCAGCAATATTGTCATTAAGAGAAACAAATTTACCCTATCTTCCTGAGAAAATTTCAGACATAAATAATGGTTAAGAAAGGAATCTTTTGACTTTTCTAGCTCTGGCAACAGTAAGTTTATCTTTTTCAGATAATTCATCCATACCCAAAATGGCAATGATATCTTGGAGTGATTTATAATCTTATAACAAATTTTAGACTCCTCTTGTGACAGTGTAATGTCTAAAGTTATATAAAATACATCGATTACTTTTCACCAACAATATTTGGGTCCATCATATGAGATGAAGAATTCTATGGATCTACAGTATAGATACCTAATTCAGTCAAAGCTCTTGATAACACAGTTGTAGCATTCAAGTGGGCAAATGGTGTAGTTGGTGCGGGATCTGTAAGATCATCTGGAGGTACATAATTAGCTTATACTGATGTAATAGATCCCTTCTTTGTTGTTCTAATACCTTCTTATAATTAACCTAAATCTATTGCCAATGTTGGTTAATAACCGACAGCAGATGGAATACGTCCCAACAAAGCTGAAAATTCTGAACATTCTTATGTGAAGCTAAAAATGTTGTCAATAAATAACAGCACATCTTTTCCTTCTTCATCTCTGAAATATTCAGCAACTGTCAAACCAGTCAAAGCGACTCTGGCTCTTGCACCAGGGGGCTCATTCATTTATCCTAAAATAAGAGCACATCCTGATTATTAACCTCTCAAACTAATAACTCCTTAACCAATATAAATCATTTCCTTCTCTTGTTCTCTCTCCTACCCCAGCAAAAACAGAATAACCACCATAATTCATAAATAAGCACTGTCTTTCAGACTCCTGCATCACCTAACAATCCAATTTTACCACCTCTAGCATATGGAGCCAATAAATCCACTATTTAATACCAGTAATCAAGATTTCAGCATTACCTAAATCAACAAAGCTTAGAGCTTCTCTACGAATTGGATATCTAATTTTTGTTTTAATTGGTCCTCTTTCATCGATTGGATCACCAATAACATTCATAATACCCCCTAAAGTTTCAGGACCAACTGGAATTGTAATGGGACCTCTCAAATCTGAGACTGGTTTGCCACGAATAAGTCCACCTGTTGAATCCATAGCAATTGTTCTCACTCTGCTATATCAGGTTCTGTATCGCTTTTTCTAATGTTTAATATTACTTGTACTCGAGTGATTGGCTCTTACCTTAGTTTTGGAGAGACAGCCTTAACAAATTATGAATTTTGGTTTTAATTGAGATGAGATTATTGTGTTACCGAAATAACTTAATTTTAATTATTTATTAACCAGTTGGTTTTCAATTACTTATCAGTCAAAGTTTTAAGTCTTTTTAAGTTAGATATTGAGGTTTCTTATTTTATATTCATATCCATCATAATCAATTAGAACCTATACTAGTAATAGTAGTGATGAATGAGCTTAGCGAGAATTGTAAGATAGTTGAATTTCTATTTTCTACAAATATCCACTGCCTTATTAATGAGACAGAGATAATTGTATTATATCTTTATCTACCATTCTTCCTTAGAAGAAATGTGATTAACTCTAGTCCTTAGAACATATTAGGAAACTCATTAACTTCCCATTACAATGTTATGTTTGGAACTTAGGCTGATTTCTGATTTAAGTTAAATTCTTCCTTCGCTTTTTTTAATTGCTATTTTATCTCTTTACCAACAACAAATACAACAAAATCATTATTTTAATCTTCTTTTTAAATGAATTCTCAGCTATCAACATTAATTCTTTGTTTTTCTTTAATATGATGAAATGTCATCCATTATTATTATGGACTTTGCTATTTCTAATAGTTTGTATTTTTAAATTAAATAGAGTTTATCTATGTTCTTAGTCATTAATTTTTCTATCTTTTTCAATTTACATAAACCAACTATTAGAAATTACCTATTAAAGCTTCAAGAAATGATTAACTAGTAATTTTTAGATAGAAAAGTTATCAGCCTTTTTTTCTATTAAAGCCAAGTCCTTAATTAATTTTGAACATTTTAGCACTCTAACATATTAAAAGTAAGATTTTACACAATTAAAATTTATTATAGATTATGGGTTTTTGAAAAAAATCAATGAAAAACAATCCAATACCAATTCATCTTTAATTATCTGTTCCTTAATTTTTCCTATTTTGTACTTTATAAAGATCATTCATTATGTATAATTTCTCGAAATCTTCAGCCTAAAAATAACATTAATAGCACTATTACAATATATTCAAAAATTTTAATTCTTATGCAATCATATCTGTATCAAAATTAAAATGGAGAAAGCATGAGCTTTTATCCATTTAACATAATTTTTTAATTGGATACGAGTGCAATTAAAAATTTAAACTCATTTTAATTATTCCATTACTTTTTAACTTGTATGAGAATAATGTGTTATATGCATAATCTATCAAGAAAATCATCCTATTGTTTTTGGATTGATATTACTATCCATCCGTTATAATTTTATTATCTAAACCTTATGTATTAAAGCCTCTAATAAATAATAAATCCCAACATATTGTTTATAATATGAATTTTAGCAATATCAAGAAGGCATCTGCTTAAACCTTAGCTTCATCCACTTATAAAGAAGACTTAATAAATAATAGATTTATGATAAATATAATGCCTTTAAATAAATTATTCTAAAATAACTTATTAATAAATATAATCTAATAGGAAGCTTATCTTATAGATTAGGGATTACTTTATGTTATCTGAATAATTTATTATTGTTACAAATTCTAAAACAATGGCAAAAGTTGTCATGTAATTTGATTATCCTATTAAATTTAATCAAGAAAACCCACATGCTTATAAATGTATTGATGAATAATTTTAATAATATCTTTATTAT